GCCTTGATATTTAAGTTGTAGCGTACCCTTCTTAGCTCGTAGTTGCTACCAGCATCCTGCGATAGTGGACCTTGTCGACCTTACTGCAGTTTTCCTTTCCTTTCTTCTTGGACCCCTGTCGTGGACAGTTAGCCTAGACGTGCTTGGTGACAGTAATCTTGTAGTTTGTGTTACGATGAACGGGGTCACTCAAGTAGGTGCTTTTGCTGTCATTACTGTGAAAATTGAACTATTATTGGGTTGTGGCTGTGCAGGAGCACAACTGGAGCATAAGACAAAAGTCGAGATCTTACTTGGTCAACGTGAACATGGGCGCTACGGAAAGTTTGTCTTACCCAAGAAGCCGGTTGAAATATCTTTTTCAGACACAGTTAAGTATTTGTAGTCTTTATTCAGCTTCTCTAAGTCGCTATTTCCTAGACGTTACGAGTGTTTGAAACTAGAGGCGGCCAGACGAAGACTACTTTCACTTAGCCGGCGGTCTGAAGGATATCTATGATTAAGCGGATTTGGAAAAGGCCACTAGCCAACAAATAAAAGACCTGTTTATTAAGGCCTTGACGCTTCCCGAGGATGCTGACATCCGCACACGCCTCCTTGCCCAATTAGATGAGCAAACCGAAATGACATTACAAGTGTTAGCAGAGGAGTGTATTTGCATCACGAACATCAAAACCGATACTCGGCTGATCGGGGATACAATTAGCTAACGAGGGCATGTGTATACAGCAAAAGACAGAAAACCTAGGAAGAAAATTAGTCCCCCAAGGAAATCGAAAGCAAAACATTGGCAATGTGGCGCATGGCATTTTGTGTCAGTTTACCCTTATCGGACTAGAAGGTATTACAAATGTTCTCGACTCGGCCACACATTGTCGCAGAAAAGCCATTTGTCCGAGAATGAGATGTAATGCCATAACCTAGATGTAGTCACAGGTTCTTAGTTGCGAAGATAGGAAATATTAGACAGTCAGCCTAGATGGAGAACCTATGACGTTGCAGATGGATACAGCATTAGATCTGGGGGAGCTCTGGGGGCGCCATAACTGAAGCCAACAGCCGTCCGGGCCTGGGCGTCAATATTACACAAATGCTTTTTGAGGGTGTTTTTCAAGCGATTATCGATTTCGAGGGCAAGTCCTGTTTCCCTGACATTTGTCTCCGAAGTCCGCAATAAGACTATTTCCCAGCTGGGTCTCTGGAATCGGCCGTTCCAGGACATATGCCGTGCTGTAAGCGTTACAGAAGAGGACCTGAAGCAGAAGTGTGCCGAGCGGATGGATATGTCAGGCGGAATGTGCAAAAAACTGGAGTAAGCTTGGGAAAAAGCCAGCCTTTAAACCGAGTAGATGCGTCCCATTTGCTGTACAAACAGCGGTCAAGGAAGAACTGGAGCGCTTGCAGCAGAAAGCCATTATCTGTCCCATAAACTATTCAGCATGGAATGCTCCGGTAGTAGCCGTAAAGAAGCCCAACGGCAGAATAAGATTGTGCGCTGACTACTCGACCGGGCTGCACGGCGCGTTAGAAGATTATGATTACCCTTTGCCGACTGTAGACCACTTCTTTGCCCCCCTTAATGGAGAATTTTTTTTCGTAAGGATTGACCTCTTAGGCATACCTACAGTTGCCAGTCGATGAAGCGGCACGGGAAATACTGACCATTAACACAAATAAGGGTTTGTTCAAATATGCCCGCCTTAATTATGGCGTCAAGACGGCACTTAATATTTTTCAACAGATAATGCATACCATGCTTACAAATTTCCCTGGAACCGTGGCATATTTGGATGGCATTTTGGTCATCGGTCGTACGAATGACAGGTTGCTCGAGAGGCTGGACAAGGTTGTAGAAAATCTTATTGATTATCGCCTAAAAATCAACATGGAAAAGAGCGAGTTCGTGAGAAAAGGAATCCACTACTTGAGTTTTTTGGTAAGCGAAGCAGGACGTTCACCAGATCCACGGAGAGTTGCAGCATTTACGGATGTGAAGGTGCCTCAGAATGTTCGGAAGCTAAAGGCAGTTATGGGGTTGGTCAGCTACTACTCGCCATTTATTGCAGGACTGCACAGTTTAAAGCCACCGTCAAACCGACTGTTTTGCAAAGATGCGAAATTTGAATGGTCTACTGACGCTCAAGAAGCTTTTGGTAAGATAAATGCAAATATCAATGAGTCAAATCTTTTCTCACATTTCGAAGCCAAAAAGAAACAATAGTCCAGGCGGCTTCATCAGAGTATGAGCTAGGTGGCGTTCTTCTTCAGAAGGGCGCGGGCTGAAATATCCCGCATTAATGCATGTCGCACGATCACTCACAAAAGCAGAACGAAACTACAGTCAAATCGAGAAGGGCACACCGACACTCATATTTGCAGTACAAAAGTTTCACCAGTTCATTTACGGATAACACTTTGTACCTCACATCGATCACCAACCAGTAAGGTTTTCTTTGGGCACAAATCGTGGCGTGCCGCAGTATGAAGCCAAGAGGATACAGCGATGGAGTACTATTCTCCTGAGTTATGACTTCAAACTCCAGTACGTGTCCATTCAGAATTTTGGAGCTCCAGACGCCTTATCACGACTGAGCGGAGGTGGCGAACACCAGGAAGACGTTGTGGACGCAAGCACTCTGATATAAGACGGCGACGAATATAGAGATGTCATCCGACAGCTACCCCTCACGGCCAAACACATGAGGCCAACCACCACAGGAGATCCACTATAACGCCAGGTAAAGGAGTTTATTCGGAATGGTTAGCCCAACGAGGACAAGATACACCTAGCTATAACGCCCTTCAGGAACCAGAAGGGGCAGTTGTACATAACCAAAGGATGCGTCATGTATGACGGTAGAGTGATGATCCCAGCTAGACGTCAAGACAGGTTTTACGTGAATTCCACGCCGGACACCAGGGCATGAACTGTATGGAACAACTGGCCCGGAAGTACGTATATTGCCAGGAATCGATTGTATGGAATCTTTCGTGCAAACCTGCGGTCTATGTGCACGTGAGACTAAAAATCCCCCAGAAGTACCACCCGCGCCATGGCCAGAGATAATAAGACCGTGGAGTCGGGTCCATATGGACTTCTCTGGGCCAGTCTTCAATCGAATATTCCTAGTAATAGTAGATGCGTGGTCAAAGTGATTGGAAGTTTTCGACGTTTCGGCAGCTACCGCTAAAATCACGGCAAAAATGGTGGAGGAACTTATCTCCAGATATGGCATACCCACAGAAATTACAGTATCTAAAACCCGAGGCTGGGTTTTCCAAACCGCCAAAACACTACTTTCGAGGGGAGAAGAGGTGTTTGCCCGGCGAGAAACCGTGGATTAAGGGCATTGTTAGGAAGGCGAGAGGCGTTGTTTTTGAGGTAGAAACGACAACAGGGAGAATCGAACGCATGCGAATAATCTGCGACGCAGATTTTCCTCGGATGCCCAAGTGGCACCCGATGTGCTATGTGATACTTATGAGGTCCCGAGCCCCAGGGCAGGGTCCAAGTCGTCATCACCGCCAGTCCGAAAAAGTCACCGAAAAAAAAAACAGCCGCCTAGCCCTTTAATCGTGGACCCAAAAAGGAAGGAATATGAAGTCCATCTTTCAAAAGCTTGAAGTGTTACGTAAGCGGGATCCGCCATGCACTCAGGGCAGTGGACGAAAAGAACAAGCCACGCTGGGTCACGCTCTCGTACAAGCCGCCCACTCCGTACGTCGAGCAAGCTCGATGACCGCCCACACAGTGGGGACGGTGGCCGCAGTCGAGAAGCTTCCAGAATGCCCAGGTGTACGCCATACGCCATTAAGGTTCTGGAAGGACCAATACCTTATAAATAAGTTGGAGTGAACAAGCGATCAAATCTGTTGTGTCTGTGTGGCCTTCAATAAAGTCCTTGTGTCAGAACCGGTTATTTATCTTCCTTTGCCTTCTACGTGGGAAATAAGGTTACTGACTGTGTTATTTGTAACTGATGGTATCTTTTTCAGCTATGTCCACGATACCTTGATTTCCTCGCAAATTGTACTGTTTCGGATGCAGTGACTGACGGTCTAAAAACCACCACTGTGTCCCAACAAAGTGTATTGAGTTTTTTTGTAGAGCTTCCGGGTGGGAAACGGCGTCGGACCCGGTAGAGACGAGGAACGTGCACAAAATACCTCAGTCGTCTTTCATGAATAACCTTCCTCAGTCCTTTTAGCTTGTACAAACTGCCTCTGAAGATTCAATCGGTGTACCGCACTTGAAAGATGGCTCTCAGGCATCAGTGGTAAAGATCTGTCCTCGCTAGCCGTCCAAGTCTAGAACTCCAGCATTTCCCATCGTAAATAAAGACTGATCGTATGACTGCTCGATAAACGAGAACCTTTGTTGCAGTGAAGCTATACCTTCTGGTCAACATACATACTTAGTTAGCAAACCAGCAGCATCCATGTGAGATGTCCTCATTCACCGTCCACGTTTTTGTGCGAGTCAGAAGTGCAGCTCCAAAACCGAATTAGCGGTGTCATTTGCTCGTGACATCACATTCTGAAGGTCATATTGATTCGATATTAGTGGAAGAAAGTCAACGTAGCCGAGGTCACTCCGCTGGTCCCCCAATGCATTTTGACTATCACGATCTGCTAAACTTTACCAAACTCACGGGCTATGTACAAAGTTCTCGTCGCGACTTATTTTGCTTTCGAAGCTTTTTATAGACCTTATGTCGTGTTTCGGCCTGGCGTCCTTTTATTCTTCCTCTTTATCTGTAGCTGCGAATACACGCTGTTTGAGTAACCTCCCTCAAATGAAGCGTTTCACTTTCCTTACGGTCAAAACAGCCGATACATAGACGACTTTACACTGATTGAGGCATTACCTGTCCGCGGGGTCTTGATGGGCGCCAGTCTGTTTGCTCTCCTTTTTCTGCTAACTTTTTGTCAATACACTTCTAAATCGTGGATTCGTTTCAACAGGTCTACAGCGTCCAAGACTCTGTCGTGTCAACAGTATGTCGTCAGAACGGTCGGAAAAGGATGTTTTTGACCTCTTAGCACATGCTACCTCGGATGTCACTGGATTCCACAAGCAGGCCCAGTTGCTGACCGTCGGTCCGCAGTCCGAGGCGCCTGATCTGTTCTTACTGGAGGTAACACCTGCAATGGCCGACCAGCTGCTCACCTCTGGGCCAACTTTTGACTTCTGCTTCAAATCCTTCAAAGACTCCTCACAGCCACAGACAGCCTATCTTTGCTCTGAGGACAAAACTTTCAAACTTTTGGAAGCTGAAACCTCAAATTCCCTTCTGATTGTCCCTAAGCTCTGGATTCCAACTAAGAAGGACAGCGAAAATCCCCCGGGGGAGCCTTTTGTCACGAAAACGGAAATAGCTGGAATTAAGTCCTGTTACTTGGAAACTGTGGCAGTGAGGGCACCTCCTTTGAGGCAACTGAAACAGCTTCTTATAAAATCATCGTTTGCTGGACACATCGAGGAGGACGACCGGGATGATTCTAGTCCCACACAGTTTTATTCCTTTCAAGAGCTACTGGAAAACGTCCCTTGCAGCAAAACCGAACTCATTGCAGCACTAGACCGGCTAAACGTCATGGTTTGGGAAGGAAAGTGCCGCATATTTGAAGTCGAATATCTGAATGCTGTGAGTGTCTCTCTTTAAATTTACAGCCCTTGTTCGGTTTACTTTAATTCAGTCAGGGGAATTTCTTCCAGTTTTTTTTTCAGATTAACCGCTTATTACTGACAGGAGTACTAGATTTTATTTTAAATATTTTTATCCCATCTCTGTCGTACCGGACCAAATAACCTGTTAAAACACGAATGGGGTAAATTCGATTACAGCCAAAATAAGTGTCTTCAACATAAATTAAGATCGCCTTTAATAATGCCTTACTTAATATGGTGGCATTTTGCAGATGTGCAAGTTGTTATCATCGAAAGTTATATTGATACCACATTCCGCAGTATTTAAGGCTGTTAGCTGCACTGGTGCATCGACAATTTAACCGCGGTTGCCGCAAGAGGGTGGTTTATGTTGATAGCAGACTTACACGGCAGCTACTACACTCTGTCCCGGGCCCTGTGTCATTCCACAGTACTGGTAATAGGATCAAGCGCAGTGGCTAACAAAAACTGTCCGCGTGTGTCAATTACGTCTGATCTGCGCACGATGAACCAGGTTCTCGTAGAAACTTAAAAAGATGGCTCGGATGTCATATGAGTGGGTGTGTCATGGAGGCCACAGTAAGAAATAACCATTGCAGCCCGGCTCTTCTTCCTCAGATTAAAACACAATTATCCTGTCACTTGGCAGCCTTCTTAGCTCCAACTTTGAGCGCAACATGATTGTCTAAAAACGCGTCAGGTTGTTGATGATGAACAGTATTTACTGAATGTCGTGAGGACGAATTCCCCAACTCGACCTCGCTCTTTTCAAGCACCAACCCACCGTCTGAGCTGGTCAGCCGGAGATTGAGTCCAGGTGGCAGTCACGGCGTGAACCTGCGCCTAGGCGTGGCACCATACCTCCCCCCGATGTGTGACATTTGTTAAGGTTGCAACAGCCCGAATAACGCCTGCCGATGCCTGGTCTGGCTCCCGTGTGTTGGTCCAGCGCACCTAGCCACTTGTAGGGACCTTACTGGTGTATGCTATTCATCTCAAGCCCAGCCACCGAGGCCATCAGCAGTGAACCTCAACCGAGCTAAACGTCGGGTAGACAAGGCAAGAGAGACCTACCACCTACCACCGCTGTATGTGCAGACTGTAATAGTAACGTTTCGGCACCACCACTGTCTCTGAAAATCGTTCATTGGAACCCACGCTTACTTTTTAAGCCTGCTGTTCACGGAATTAAATTCTAGATTTTTGCATCTTCCTGGGATGAAGAGCTGCCTGAGACGTCGGTCCTAATTTTGGAAGACTAACTGACTTTATATGAGCACCAAAGTCACAGGAATAAATATATGCTATTGTTTTTCCATTCGAAACCTCATAGATGGCTTTATGAGTTAACACCGAAAGTTCGGCATACTAAGCTATATCGATGTCGTACTCTAGTTAAACCTTTCACTAACACAGGTAGACTTCCTCCTGTATATGTTCTGAACCTTGAAAGACAGGTCTTACTGAAAATATTCTGAGTGGCACGGCCTTTGTGCGGGTAAAACTCACGAACATCGTGTTATTTCGTGAGTCTGGAGAGACCCGCTGTTTTCTTTGGGATAATCGCAGCCCCTCAGTGACCTATCTACCCTCTTCGTCATTAAAACTTCGAAAAATATAGCGTAACAGTCACCTTAACGCCTTTTTAATGGCACTTCCACCTATGCCGACTACTGTTGGCATAATACTGTACTAGGGACCCCTATCTATTCCGGCCCCTTGCTCTAACATCCAGGAAGATTTATATTAATGTTAGGGTTGGGCTTGGAATTGAGGTAGTCTAAGGGTTAAGGGCAGGATTAGAGTTAAGTGCAGGGTTATTGCTGCGTAAATGTGACGAGCCAGCCCAAAAACTCGATTGAAGCTCAAGGGAGAACTCAACAGCAACAAAGGCGGAAATAAACAAAAGTGTATTGACTTATTATTACAACTTATGGAAGGTCAGGAAAGACCATACGAGGTCGGACCGCACCCGGACCAATCCAATAATGTCCTTGTGGGGTTAGCATGTCGACTAATCTTCCGACTCATTTGATTGGTTGGGTAAATAACTAATCCCGTCGGCAGCTTGCATGATATCCCCACGCACACGGCCTATAAGCGGATCGATAGTGCTGCACGGGAACGAGCCGGTTAGAACGGCTCCTCCTAAAAGTTCTGACACAGCAGTCTTTGCCCCTCTTGAGAATTTGCGGACAGCCATTTGTATTACGCGGGGAAAGCCGCGAGGTTCCTCATCACATTTTTTACCCAGCTTTTTTTCAGAGAGTTCCTAAGCACGCAATCGAGAGGAAAAGACTGACGTGAGGACACCGTTTCAGCTAGACTGTCTTCGTGCTAGCATGAGCAAGAATTCGCTCGCTATCACCCAAGATTATGTCTGTCGCTTGAATAATCTACTTTCGCAGTTTAACAGCCAAATTTTCTCTCTTCCTCTGCAGGTAATTCAGGCTATCTTCGATCTAACCGACGAAAACGCCTGGAATTGGTCTAAGGACGGTTTACCAGCAGCCGCCGTCGTGCTAGGCCTCGAAAAGCTCTACCCCGCCTCGGTGACGCGCCAGGTCTTCCATCGTTTCTTTTACCGCCGCCAGGGAAGATCAGCCACTGTTGCCGCTGGCCACGTCTTCCCACGTATCGGAAAGATTTGCCAACTCGTGGGCGAGCATCTGCTCGCCGTGACTACCAAATTTGCTCTGCAGGATTTCTTCTCCGTGTGGTGTGCTGCAGTGCCACGCGGCATGCGTCCACGTCTGCGTCAGCATCTCACTTGTGTCGGCCGGGCGGTGTGCGAGTCTCATTTGGTGCTTGCTCCTGCAGGTAGCTCAAACAACTCCGTTACCACTGCCACAGATAAAGCTGCCCACAGAGGACAAAGTATCTCCCTCCTGCGCTCGGAAGATTTGCCAGATGAGTCGGTGGAGGCACGTCTGGAGGCCCTATTTGCCCGTCAGGCTGTCTGGCCGGAAGCGGAGCTTGCTGGCTACATTGCCGACCTAGTGGTCGGCGCGGCACAGTCAGAGGACTGCCGCGGTGAGTTCGTCTTTGAGAGGAGAGTTGAAGAGGAGCTGATCGTGCTGTCTGATTCGGAGGACGATGCTGAACTCGAGTCAATCGACCTTAACGTTGTGGATCTGTCGAATGATGCACGCGTGCCCCTAGAGTTTGATAATCCTAAACCGATTTCGGCCACCCTTGGAACACTATTGTCGCATCTTTGTCGGGCTAGCGGTACAGCTGGTGCTCGAGTCTATACAGAGAAGTACCCAAGAAAGTAAACTCCTCCCCTTCTCAATCCATCTTAAGATTTTATTTTTGTACGTCTCCTGTTTTATAAACTATTTTGTTGATAACACTTCTTATCATTGCTTTGCTTGGCGGTCGATGCAGGACCTTTTCTTTTATGTGAGCTGAGGTGCATTTCCTAGTATTCCATCACAGTGGTGATGGGTATGTAATTTACCCTATTTGGTAACGTGTCAGCCGCTTGAATTTTCTCTAAGTAAGTCAGACTGTAGTAGTTTCTGTACTCATCGGGTCAGAAAAACTTGCTGCGGGAGCTTCTGGTTCCCCGTGGTCCGCGTTAATAAAGGATCTAACAATTTCAGTTTGACTATGACTCTCACTCCGTCACTGATAGTGTTCGATTTGTGAGCACCAGTGAGTCCAAAATTAGAGCCGTAGCCGCGACCACAGAGGTAGTATACCCCAGACGAATTATCAAAGTCAGCTGTTCCATTTCGTTTGGTGGCAAATGGTTTCTGGCCTTGGAAACACCCTGTTCCGCACTACTCTTCTAACCCAACTTTTGGACCTAGGTTGTCGTTTACGGTAGATAACATATTTCATGACGCATTCGCTGAAATTATGAAGGATTATCCCGACTGGAAAATTTCCTATGGCATGTTATGACAGATGCTCTAACTGTCATTGTTCAGACTCTGTCATTTGCTAAACGTTTTAATGTCTTCCTTCCCGGCACATTACACAAAATGAGGAACTCAAACAGTCGGATGACAAAGGTTGCTAGCTTTCCGACTGTGCCAGATCCTTTGACGTTGGACTGTGAATGACACAGGTGCCAGTCGACAACAATTGGATATGAAACCCCACTAAGAAAACGGGGCAAGGGACTTCTGTACTGCGGAAATAATGTCAGTAGGGTTTCATGACTGAAATGGACAGAATTGACGAATAACTTTCGGGAAGCAAAGGTTAACAGACTTACCTTTATGTCATTTGCTTGTTTGATTACACCAACAAGAGTTAAGGGCGCAAGCCCACAGTTCAGTTTACTGGATTAGTGGGAGCTTTAGACGGGTGGCGAAATGAAAGCTGAAAGTATTGGTAAGATGCTTCAGATGAACTGAACCCCAGTCCTTAATTTAACCAATCACATTTGAAGAGGAAGTGTGAGGAATATATCGTTAAACCCAATTTTCGTGATAGCTGCGACTTAAGGTATAACTGCAGTCGACAATGATGATAGCCTAACTCCTATCTATAGACGCTATGACTACATCTCCTACACCAGCCTCTAACTCGCTTACTTGAAGGAAGCGTGGCGGGGAATGAGCCAAAAGGACGGGTTTTGGATCATTACTACTCAAATACCATAAACAGATACTTCACAGGAGTAAAGATTATGTGGGGTCATATATCCGATCTTAATCCTAAGCGGTAATACTGTTTTTGGTCTTCCAAAAGGCCTAGTTCACTCGAGTGTTACGGGATATGCAAAATACCTCTTGGAAATTTGCGCTCTTTCAAAATAATTAGGCTACCGGTCTAACGTGGACTTCCTGTATATAGAAAAAGCTTTAGACCGTAGCTTCATCTCAGAAGAACCTAGACTCTGGTCCTTACTTGAGGTGCTTATTGCTTGAGTGCTTTGTGCGTCTTGGGAGGCCTTAGTTAAATAAGGACTCAGTCTCTTAGCTTGGGTCTCGGCTACGAACTGCAATAGAGACCGAGCAATTTTAAGAATAATTTTCAGGAAGAGGGAGAGAGAGAGCTATCTGCCAGCTTAGCAGGATAGCTTACTAAATTGTCACCCTGAGTGTCAGCGCCACCAGGATGTGCACGGTTTGGATCTGGCACACCTTGCTTCCACGTAAATGATCGCCATTTCCGACAACAGAGTGAGCGCAGGGTTGGTGACTTGCGTGTAGGTTAGTTTATAGTGATCTGAGACTTACACAACGTCTACCACGCCTCTCCCACCTAGGTGGAGTGTTCAGATATAGGCGTAGCCGACACGGCATGAACCTGCTCATAGACTTGCCCCCAAATAACCCGATACCGCTCTAAGCAGTAGAGAACCCTGGAACGCATAAGTGCATCGCTCTAACAAGATCGAAGGAAAGAACGATCTGAAGGCGAGAAAGCGATCGCTGGAACGAGTTATTAGCCGGACGCTTCTGATCCTCCCCCAAACCCATCATCGGAGACAGTCACCGATCACGCTGCGTCCCCCCCCAAAGCCTTACAACAGTAAGGCAACGATCGTTCTTAAAAAGAATCCATATTGAGGTTTGCAAAGTTATATTACGTTATTTGGAAAAAAAACGGCTTTTTATAAAAGTGATATTGACAAACAGCTTTTTTCGATCATTCATCATCGGGCCTTTACAGTGACATGGAAACTAACAGAGAGTAAAGCGGGCAGTTATGTACAGTGCCTTTACAGCTCTCGTAGTAGGGGGGAGGGAGGGCAATTAGTTATCTCGTGTCCCCTCGTCTGGTGCATGCCGGACTAAGCACGCTGTTATTCTCCATGTCACTGTAAAAGCATGATGATTGATCGAAAACAGCTGTTTGCCAATGCGACATTTCAATCGTAAAAGAAAAAATGGACATTTTTGCAGTAAAGCCGAAAATTCCAAAGAAGGGAAAAATGGGGGTCACTAAGTAAACTGAGGTTTTAAGCTTAGAGAAAGCCTATTCACGAAAATAACCGAAGGAATAAAAAAAGCGTACGTAGAATTACGTTTGAAAACAATCCATTTGTGACATTTTCAGGTACATATGCTGTCATTTTAAACGCACTGTCGAGTAAGGCTGTTACCAAACAGCCCGAAGTTCGAGTATGTATTCCAACATGGTTTCACGGGAACTGCCAGCTGTTTTTTTATACATTGTTTGAGACACGTACTAAGGCAACCGAATTTTCGCCTGGTTGCGTCCATTGGGACATAGTTCAGTATATTTAGGGTAGTAGGCAATGCCTTTGAAGACCCTATTGA